CTCCTGGTCCTTCCTCCTCCAGTGAACTCCAAATGTCGATGAAGGCCGTTGCACTTGACCATGACACCCCTTTCCAATCTGATCACTATTGATCATGATTCGCGTTGGTTCTAAAAGCTCAGCTCCTCGCCGCCAACAGTTTGCTTCATGCCGTATTGGCACAGATCCCCTTATATGGGTAACGTCTGGACTCTTCAAAACTCTCTGAACCGGACTGGCGTGCCAACTTGAAGCTCCTGCAGGGTGCTCAAACCGGAAATAATACCCACTTTCCTTTTGGATCCCACAAAGCTCCAGAGCGAAAGTAGGATGCTTCATGCAATCGGTGAGTATCTTCTTGATTTTGCTCCATTGGCCTTATGGCGATGAAGATTTGCAGTCTGCAGAACGCTCAACACACGGGGCTTACTACCAATAAGAGTGCCGCTTTGCTGCTTAAGGAACCCACCCTTAGATAAGGAATCCAGGATCTGGAAGCCAGTGGAACTCCAATCGTGGATCGGACAAGGATATCACCGCCGCCCTCATTGGATAAGGAACCCTCCAGGGTCTGAAGCCTCCTGGGCACATTCCTTAACGAACGCCCCCACCGCAGGCACCGTGAGGGCCTGGGTGCCTGTCCCTGTCGATGGACAAGCACGGGCATCTGCTCCTCGTGCCTGAAGTCAGGATGTCCATCCCTGCTGGTGGACGGCATCCCGCCCTCGCGAAGAGGGGTTTGCTAGGCATCGGGGGCTTTCGGCCAGCGACGGCGGTGAGACGGCCACTGCCGTCGGTGGCGAGGCACATTGCCAACCGCTACGATGTCGAGGGGGCGCCGTGTCAGCCTGGATACCCCTCCCTGTCGATGGACGGCGGTTGGCACCCACCCCTCGCTCCGAAAGCCAGGAGGGCCTGCCCCTGCCGACGGACGGGCACGGGCCGCCCCCCCCTCGGTGTGCGGCGGAGGTGCTACGCCTCCGCCCGCGGAGAGAAGGCTGCGGAGTGTGGCGGGGCGGGCACCACGGAGGGTTGGAGGGGTCCTGCGCGCGATGCTGGAGGTGGGAAGGCAGGCGAGCGCTGTACCATCAGGCGTAGCAGCGCCCTGCGGTACAGCTCGTTGCGCCCAGCGGCCGCGTCCGAGCCGGGGGGGGGGGCCAGGGTCGAGCCAGATTCGCGCGGCTGGCCTCGCGTTGCGTCCCCAAGCGCGTCGCTGAGGCCTCTGGCCACGCCCCCAGGCCACTGACAAATCGAAGAGGGCTCCCAACGGCGCCCGGCTGCAGAAGCCCGATAGGAAGGCCGAGGAGTGTCCTTTCAGTCCTGCCCATGGTCAGGCTTGAACCGGCAGTGGTCTTCGGAAGGTCTTTTCCCGGGCTGCACTGCCCCATCGCGCACAAGGTTTAAGCTGAACCGTCGCACTCGAGGCAGGACATGGTGGTTGGACAAAGCCAGTGGGGTCTTTGGTGAGCTGTCCAGCAAATCCTCCGTTTTGCTCCATAGGTGCCCTGCCCTCGAGTGGCACACCTTGGAGGTGCACCAGGCATCTGGTAACACCAATGGAATTAAGGCGCCCCTACGCCATATCACTTCAAGCGTCCTCCTTCTCATCCTCCTCCTCCTCCTCAGCAGCAGCATCATCCGCGTCATTAGTAGCATCCTCCTGCTGTTCCTCTCTCCTTCGGCTCATAGTATGGCTCCCATGTCCTCCCTCACATCCTACTCTCACTCGCGCTTCTGCCATCACCCTCACCATCATCCTTCTCATCCTCCAGCTGCTCCTCATCCCCGTCCGTTCGCCGTGCTCTGCACGCATCCTCTCATCATCTTCACCTCGCCTCGCATCACCCCCGTCTCCATCTTTATCCTGCTCCGCCTGGTCCGTTTGCCGCGGCTGCTCCTCCCACTCATCATCACAAACATCGTCATACGGCTCGGCGGCTCGGCATCACACTTCTCCCCATATTCTTGATATTTCTCGTAATACTCGAAATCCTCCTCTTCTTTCGCGTATTACCCTGTTCACCATCCCCCCATGCTTCTTCCCGACACCCTTCCCCCGTCATTCACTCCGTCCTGATCTCCGTCATCCTTCCTATACTTCCTCCTCATCGTCGTCCTCCTCCTCCTCCATCCTCCTCCCGCTCCTCGTCTTCCTTCATCATCCTCATGCTGCTCTTTCTGCTCCTCCCCCCCTCCTCCGTCCCCGCTACATCCATATTGTAATACTTTTCAATATCCTCATCACCCTGCTGCGCCTTATCATCGCTCATCCGCCTCGTCTGGCTCCTTCTCTGCCGTTGCTGTTTCTGCGCCTGGACCGCCTCCTTCTCCTCCTCCTCATTTCCTCGCTCATCAATACATCAATAATACCCGTTGCCCTGTATACTCGATGTCGTCAAAACATGCTGGTGCACGAGCAGAAGGCCATGAGGCAAAGGAACGCAGAGAAAAAGCACCCGTGTTTGCAATGCGTACCCGTACCTCCCCGACCTCCCCGACCTCCGTGCCTCCGGTAATGATGAAGAGGAAACTAAGAGGATAAGAAACAGGAGAAGCAGGGGGAGGAGGACATGCGAATCGCCCTGTCTCCCTCGAGCTGGTGCTTGAGCTAGCCAAGTGCTGGTGGCTGCGAGAAGGAGACCAGTCCCTGCAATGATAATGCTCCTTGCTCCTCTGGGCCCTCCCTCCCTCTTCTCCCTTCTCTCTCCAACCCATCTCTCCTGATATGCCTCGTGGCCGTCCTCCACGTCGTCGTCGTCGCCCTGGTCGTCGTCGTCCTGGTCGTCGTCTTGGCAGTCCTCGTCGTCGGCGCCATCGTCGCCACCGTTGTCGTAGCAATCGTCGTCGTCGTCTCCGTGGTCGTCGTCGCCATCGTCGTCGATGTCGTCGTCGACGTGGTCGTCGTCTCCATCGTCGTCTTGGTAGTCCTTGTCGTCGTCGTCGCCGTCGTTGTGGCCATCGTCGTCGTCTTTGTCGTCCTGTCCTCGTCGTCGTCGCCGCCGCCGTCATCCTCGTCGTCGTCGTCGTCGCCGCAACCTTTGGCGTCGACGTCGTCGTTGTCGTCGTCGCCGTCGTCGCCACCGTCGTCCTGGTAATCCTCCTTTTCGCTGTCGTCGGCGTCCTCGTCGTTGCCGTCGTCGTTTTCTTTGTCGTCGTCGTCGCCAGCGTCGTCGCCGTCGTCTCCGTCGGCGACGTCGTCATCGTCGCTGCTGTCGCCGCCATCCTAGCCGTCGTCGTCGCCATCAGCGTCGCAATCCATGTCCTTGCAGTCCTCGTCGCCGTCGTCCAAGTCGTCGCAGTCGTTGTCGTCGTCATCGTCGTCGTCATCGCCGTCCTCGTCTTCGTCGTCGTCATCGTCGCCGTCGTCGCCGTCGTCATCGTCACCGTCGTGGCCGCAACCGCCGTCGTCATCGTCAATGTCGTCGTCGGCGTCGTCGTCGTAGCCGCAGACGTCGACGTCGACGTCGCCGCCGCAGACGCCGTCGTCGTCGTCGTCGTCGCCGTCGTCGTCGTCGTCGTCCTGGTAGTCGGCATCGTCGTCGCCGTCGTCGGCGTCATCGTCGTCGCCGTCGCCATCGTGGTCCCAGTGGGTCGTCGTCGTCGTCGTCGTCGCAACCGTCGTCCCTCGTCATCGTCGTCGACGTCGCCGTCGTTGTCGCCATCGTCGTCGCCGTCGTCGCTGTCGTCGTTGTCGTCGTCGTCGCTGGCGTCGTCGCCGTCATCGCTGTCGTCCTCGTCGCCGTCGTCGTCGCCGTCGTCATCGCCGTCGCCTTGGGCGTCGCTGTCGTCGTCGTCGTCGTCACCATCGTCGCCGTCGTGATAGTCGTCGTCGCCGTCGTCTTGGCCATCGTTGTCGTCGAGGTCGTCGTTGTCGTCGCCAGTGTCGTCGGCGACGTCATCGTCGTCTTCGTCGCCAGTGTCGTCCTGGTAGTCCTCGTCGTGGACGACGTCCACGTAGTCCTCGTGTTCGCCGTCCTCGTCGACGTCGCCGCCGTCGTCGTCGTCGTCGTCGTTGCCATCGCTGTCGTCGGCGTCGTTGTCGCCATCGTCACCGTCGTCGTAGTCGTCGTCGCCGTCGTCTTGGCCATCGTCAATGCCGTCGTCGTCGCCATTGTCGTCGGCGGCGTCGTCGTCGTTGTCGCCATCGTCGTTCTGGTAGTCCTCGTCGTCGCCATCGTCCTCGTCGTCGCCGTCATCCTCGCGTCGTCGTCGGCGTCGTCGTCGTCGTAGTCGTCGTCGTCGTCGTCGACGCCATCGTCGTCGCCTCATCGTCGTTGTCATCGTCGTCGCCATGATCGTTGTTATCGTCGCCCTGGTAGTCCTCTTCGTCGTCATCGTCACCGCCGTCGTCGTCGCCGTCATCGTCGTCGTCGCAGTCTTCACCGTCATTGTCGTCGTCGCGTCCGTCGTCGTAGTGGTCGCCATCGTCGTTATCGTCTCGTCGTCGTCGTCGTCGCCACTGTCGTCGTCGCCGGCGTCGCCTTCGGCGTCCCCGTCGTCGTCGTTGTCGACATCGTCGTCGTCGTCGCCATCGTCGTTCTGGTAGTCCTCATCGTCGCCACCGTCCTCGTCGTCGTTGTCGTCGCCGGTGTCGTCCTGGTAGTTCTCGTCGTTGTCGCCATCGTCGTCGCCGTCGTCGCTGTCGTCGTCGTCTTCCTCGTCCTCGTCCTCGTCGTCGTCGCCGCCGTCGTCGTCGTCGTCGTCGTCGTCTCCGTCGTCGTCGTCGTCGCCGCCGTCGTCGGCGCAGTCGTCGTCGTCGTCGTCGTCGTCGTCGTCGCCTGCGTCGTCATCGTCGTCGTCTCCGTCGTCGTCGTAGCCGTCGTCGTCGCCGTCATCGTCGTCGTCTTCGTCGTCTTTGTTGTCGTTGTCGTCATCGTCGCCGTCGTCGACTCCGTCGTAGTCGTCGTCGTCACCGTGGTCGTCGTCGCCATCGTCGTCCTGGTAGTCCTTGTCGCTGTCGTCGTCGTTGTCGTCGTAGCCCTCGTCCTCGTCGTCCGCTGGGACCGCTCCGAGCGGGCCGCAGTGGCGTAGGGCAGCGCCCGCAGTCCGGCGTGCCGGCGAACGAGCGCGCGGCAGGCCACCCGCATGGCGGCCTCGTCGGGCACCTCCAGGGGGCTACAACCGCGAGGACGGCGACCGCAAGGACAACAACGACGAGGACGACGACCACGACGACGACAACGATGACCAGGACTACCAGGACGACGAAGGCGACGACGACGACGACGACGACGACGACGGGGACGACGACGATGGGGAAGGGGGGAGGAGGGGGTCGGAGAGCAAGGAGATGTTTGAAGGGGGGGTTCTTGACCATCGTCGGCCCCGCATGCTTCACCTTTGAGGGGCTAAATTCTCGTATTGTCCACCCTGGGGCGTCGGGCAGGAGCGGGGGGCAGAGAGATGGGGAGCGGGACAGGGGGGGGACCCAGAAAGGAGAAAGAAGGGGGAAGAAAGGTGGGTGAGGAAGAGGACGACGACGACGACGAGACATGAGGACGTAGAAAGGAGAAAGGGAGGGAAGAAGGAAGGAGGACGAGAATAAGGAGGAGGCGGACGACGACGACGACGACGAGAAGGAAGAGGAGGTGGAAGCGGACCGTCGAGAGGGGGCGGAGGGAGTGGAGAAGATGAGGACGAGGAGGAACAGGAGCCGCAGCAGCAGGAGCATGATGATGATGGCATGATGATGGGGGAAGGACGAGGGAGAAGGAGCAGGATGAGGAGGATGGCGAGGATGAGGGAGAGGAGGACAAGGAGGAGCCGCAGCAGCGGGAGCCTCCTCCTCCTCCTCCTCCTCCTCCTCCTCCTCCTCCTCCTCTCCTCCTCCTCCTCCTCCTCCTCCTCCTCCTCCTCCTCCTCCTCCCCCCCCCCTCCTCCTCCTCCTCCTCCTCCTCCTCCTCCTCCTCCTCCTCCTCCTCCTCCTCCTCCGTCCTCCCTCCTCCTCCTCCTCCTCCTCCTCCTCCTCCTCCTCCCCCTCCCCCTCCTCCCCCTCCTCCTCCTCCTGAGCATACGTTCCTGGCCGTGCCCGTCGGGGCCAGTCGCGGCGAGACAAGGCAGGCGGCTCCTCGCGGCCAGCCGCGGAACGAGGCGAGGCGCCGAGGCGACCCGGGCGGGCGGCCGCGCGGGCCAGCGGCGCCTGCAGGCCAGGCCGGGCGGCCAGGCAGGTGCGCTGCCTCTGGGTCGGGGCGGCGCCGAGCAGAAGACGGCAGCGGGGCACCGCGAGAGCAGTCTGTTCGAGCAGGGGATCGCCTGCACGGTTGATTTACCCCAGAATTCATACGCCCGTCGAATCGATGAGAAGTGCGTCGAAGTAGATCTACGAAAATTCTACGTGTGACTCGACGTCTGGGGTAAATCAGTTATGTAGTCGATCCCCAACCCGATCTGCTGCGGCCGCGAGCTGGAGCTGCTGCTTGCGGCTGGTACTGGGGTCCAGCTTGGGGCGGACGTGCGACCTCGCGCCGAGCACAAGCTTCTGGGCCAAAAGGGCACCCGGAAGGTGACAGCAGTGATGAGGTTCCTCATGCCGACCCCGGCCTAGCCTCACATGCCTTGACGAGCATCCACGCCAATGTAGGGAAACAGCTGTAGCACGACACCCTGGGTCTGGGCACGCATCCCGGCCAGCGCACCAAGATCGATCGAATCAGATCGCCCCGGTGGGAAGACTCAGGAGCTTCCGGCACTGCGCTCCCCAGCACAGGACGGAGGAGAAGAGGCTCACACCAGCTGGCCCCTGTTCGGGCACACGCACGCACAGACCACGGAGCCGTGGACCTGGCGCCGGGCGCCGGATCCGCGGACACCCGGGAAGGTATACCGCCCGAGCAACCGAGCCGGTGCTGCCTCCTCTGGTGACAGGAGCGCGTCGACTCCGCACGGGAGCGTGACCCGTCGCTGCAGCGGAGGCCGGTCAACAGTAAGCTTCCACAAGAAACCCAGCCCTGACGACGACGATGGAGCACGACGACGACGACGATGGAGCGAGCAGGGCGGCCGGGTGCACTGCCTCACCCCCCGTTCCGAAGGCCAGAAAGAGGCGCGGCGGCGTCCCCGACCAGACAGCACGACGAGAGGATACGAGGGGCGGGGCGGGGCGTCCATGGATTTTTGGCGTGGGAGCGTCGCGCCTTCCACAGCGAAACCATCGAAGCCCAAGAGACCCGGGGCACCCTGGAGGCGGGCAGGGTGTTCCTTGGCACGGGCTTCCGCTGCAGTCCACAAGTCTTCATCGATGTCCTCGTTTCCTCGACCCGTGCTTCGGCCTGCGCGGCTCGCGGTGCTGCCCAGGCGCGCGACATGGGCGGATGGACGGATTCCGTTGCAGGCCTGCGGGAGTCAGTACTCCGCCGTCCCCTCTGGCCTCAGAAAGCTGTGAGGCGCAATGCTGGGTGGCTGTCTTGCGGACGTCTCTTGCATTGCCCTGATATGTTGTGCCGTCTCCTGCCAAGGGCCCACAGGGTTGAGAGCAGCCGCTTGGGCAGCACAGCCCCGGCCTCCCGGCAGTCCCCTCCCCCGACCCTCCTGCACCCCACCCCCGTGGTTGACGACGGCGACGACGACGAACACGACGAGCGCGACAGAGACGAAGACGACGACGACGACGACGAGTATACAGTATACAGAAGAAGAAGAAGAAGAAGACAACGCGGAAGACAGAGAAGAGGACGGCGGCGGCGGCGGCGGCAGCGACGTCGAGCCGCAGCACCTCGTCCAGCAGGATGAGCCAGCCCACGGGCGCCTCACGGGGGGGGGGGGGGAGGGGAAGGGAGGGGAGGAGGGAAGGGCGGCGGGAGGGGAGGGGAGGGAGGGAGGGAGAGGGGAGGGAGGGGAGGAGGGAAGTGAGGCGCCCACGGCGCCTCACGTCCGGGGGGGAGGGGAAGGCGGGGCGCCCCGCCCTGCCCTGGCCTCTGGGCGGGCCCCCCCCCCCCCGCCGGCCACCTCCCGAGGCGAGAGAGAGAGAGAGGATTGAGGCTCGAGGGTCGAGGCTCGGGAATCGAGGCTCGAGAATCGACCGAGGCGCGAGGAGCGAGCCTCGAGGATCGAGCACCGAGGCCTTCGTGGGAGTGTTTGGGCACTCTTGCTCTGCCTCGCGAGCCCCCACCCCCTTCCACCTCTCGCTTTCCCGCCCGCTTCGTCGTCCTGTCGCGGCCGCCGCCGACGTCTGCGCCCCCGCCGTCACCGCTGCCCCGGTCCCTCCGTGACTGCCGACTCCGCGAACCGCTGGCGACAACCACAGACCCCAGGCATCATTCCCAACACTCCTGGCATTTGGTCCTCGTTTTGGAATCCGCAGCTCCGCGCCTCTCCTCCTTCTCCTCCTCCTCCTCCTCCACCTCCTCCTCCTCCTCCTCCTCCTCCTCCTCCTCCTCCTCCTCCTCCTCCTCCTCCTCCTCCCCCTTCCATTACTTTTCCATATAAATAATTTCTCACTGTCGCACCCCGAGGCAAGTGCTGGGGTGCCGGGCCTGCCGGGCGTTTCGCCTGAGACTTCCTCATGGATGACTCGGAAGCTCAAACATTGGCAACAATTTCACATATCAAGGGCGGGTGTTTTTTGATGTGGCTCTCGGCTTAGAGCCGCGAGCAGTCTTTCTAAATTTTTGCGAATTGAGGATATCCCGTTTCCAAAATGTGGCTCTCGCCTTCGCGCCGCGCACATTCGTTCTAAAAATTGCAAGAGCTTCGCTGATTGAGGATCACCCTTTTCAAAATGTTGCTCTCGCCTTAGCGCCACGCACATTCGCTTTAATTAAAAATGCGCAAGAGCTTCACGGATTGAGGATAACCCGTTTTCAAAATGTGGTTCTCGCCATAGCGCCGCGCACATTGGTTCTAAAAGATTGCAAGAGCCTCACGAATTGAGGGCGGCTCCTGTTCGAAATGTGCCCCTCGCCTTAGCGCCGCGCACATTCGTTCTATGATACCGGAGAAAAACCCAATCAGAATTTGTTTGGGGCTATAGGGCTATGTATAGGGGCTATAGGGCTATAAGGCTACTATAGGGCTATAGGGCTATAGGGCGATAAGAATATAGGTCTATAAGGCTATAGGGCTACAGGGCACCTGGCACCCGGGCACCCGGCACCCGGGCACCCGCCCGGGCACCCGCCCGGGCACCGGGCACCCGTCACCCGGGCATCTGGGCACCCGGGCACCCGGGCACCCGGGCCCGGCCACCGAATCGGCGGCGAACGCGGGCACCCGGGCACCCAGCCCCGGCCACCGAAATCGGCCGCCGACCTCACCTCAGCTTTATATCCGCTAGGACCCCTACAGAGGCAAGCTCTGACTGGGGAAAAATATTGCAAGCGTTTCACGGATTCCCACGATCAACGTACCAGAAATTGCGTGTTGGAAGGATTCAAGCGGGTGCAACAATTACGTTGATGCGCGGAGTTGAAATCCCAAGAATGGCGTCCTGGCACGATCCAGGATCGTCAAGGCGCAACCGCCGCTGGAATCCCGAGAACAATGTTTTGGCATGCATCCGGGTCTTCCGGTTGTCTTCCAACGAAGCAGATGCCTCAATGGAAATAAATCGTTGTAGGGGCCTATGAGGGAGCTTGGAGGGAGGGTGAATCCAACATCGTTGATGGCTCCTGGGTTTACACTTGTCCTCCTCCTCCTCCGCCTCCTCCTCTTCCCCCCCTCACCCGCCTCCTCCTCCTCCCCCTCCTCCTCCTCCTCCTCCTCCTCCTCCTCCTCATGCTCATCCTCATCCCCCCCTCCTCCTCCTCCTCCTCCTCCTCCCTCCCCGCTCCCCTCCTCTCTCCTCCTCCTCCTCCTCCTCATCCTCCTCCCTCCTCCTCCTCCTCCTCCTCCTCCTCCTCCTCTCCTCCTCCTCCTCCTCCTCCCTCCTCCTCCTCCTCCTCCTCCCTCCTCCTCCTCCTCCTCCTCCTCCCTCCTCCCCCTCCTCTCCTCCTCCTCCTCCTCCTCCTCCTCCTCCTCCCCTCCTCCCTCCTCCGTAGCCATTTTGGCTCAAGACCCATGCTTTGGCGGGCTGAGCCCGCATTGGCAAAAACGGATGCCGCTAGTCCGCGGCAGCTTTCAACCTTTCAGGAGGTCCCTCGGTCGAGGGGTTCGCGAGCCTCCAACATCCCGTTCCTCTTTCTCGCGCCATGGCTCCTGCAGGCTCTGGCGAGTGGGAGCGCCGCCCGTGGGTTCAGTCCTCCAGGCCCCGTCGCTGGGGGGGCACCATACCTGAGGGCGGGGCTTCATCGGCAGCCAAGTGGGAGTCCTGGGACGGCCAGCGAGCCAAGCAAGAGGAAGTATGGAAGACGGTGGCGGGTCCCAAAGGTGAAATTCTCTGCCACCACTGCGGTTGCCGTAAGAACTCTAAAGGATCGATGTGCTGCAAGCATTGTGGCCAAAAGCTCGGTACACGTCCCCAACCTCTGGAAGACTCTGGTGGCCCCAAGTCGTCGGACGAGTCGGGGAAGGGAGCGAGCAAGGGCAAGAAAGGATACAAAGGCGGCAAGGGTGATCCTCTCGGTGGCAAAGGCTCTGGCAACCTCTACTCTGCTCTCCCTCCTGGACCCGTTCCCGAGATTCCTCAGGCCAAGGCCCTCGAACTACAGCGTTTGGCTCGGGAAGCTGGGGACGCTGCGGGGGCTGCGCGATATGGAGCCCTGGCGCAGAGGGCGGCTCCACCCCCGAAGCCGTCGGGGAGGCAGCGGCTCGTGGCTGCGGAGCAGAAGCAGGAGAAGCTGGAGAAGCGCCTCAAGGTCGAGTTCGAGAAGCTGCAGCGCTGGCGTCGAGCTGCTGACGAACTGGCGGCCACGGTGGGGACCCTGGCTGACGAGCTGCAGGCCGCCGATGGCGAGGTGGCAGCCGCCTTGGTGGAGCTCCAGAGCCAGCACAAAGGACCACCAGCGACGGAGTCCAGAGGCCTCGCGAGCATCAGCCTGCGCAAGCTCATCGACGGGGAGATGGAGCTGGCTAGCCTTATTTCTTGCGACGATTTCATTGACGTGGAGGCGGTCAAGGGTAGCTACGAGGTGTCCGAGGATGACCTTCGTGAACTCGAGGAGCGCAAAAACGACGTGGCGAAGCAGCTGCAAGAGGTACTTGGTTCGGTTTTTCGTCAGGCGCTGGAGAAGGCCAACTCCGCCCAGGACCAGCACAAGGAGCATCTCAAGCGCCTCCAATCGAAGCGTCGACGTACTGCTGATGATGGGGAACAAGCATCAGCCACAGGTGGGATCGAGTCTGGGACAGGGACTTCGCCAAGCCCAGGGAGCGCGACAGCGAGCTCACCTACCGAGGCGTCGGTGGATGAGGTGGGCAAGGCGGCCCCACATGTGGACATTCGCTCACTGGTCGCTGCTGACGGTGGAGTGCAAGCTGCTAAACGGGCGGGGCTTTAGCCACAGCGGGAGCTCGACACAGGCCGGGGCGACGTGGCCGAGTTCGGCGACTCCTCTGTCCTGGTCATCCCTCGCTGCCACGAGCGCATCGTCGAGGTTGTCTTCTACGGTTGCGTGTACTTCGTCGGTGTTGCATACTCCCTGCGCTGCAGTGTCGCCGTCGGCTCCGGTGTCGGCAACTCCATGGCCTGCGGTGGCGTCGTCGACTCCACGGGTGGCGACTACCAGCTTTGTCGGATCGGAGACCAGGTGCGCCTCGAGCCTGGTCTCCTCAGAGTTAAATTGCGAGGAAATGGGGCAACGGAATTCGGCGATTGGTCAGTGCGCCGAGTACGTGTCAGCCAGTCAGAACGCAGCTGTCAAGCCCACCCAAGGCTTGGCGGCCCTCTCGTCCAAACCTTTTGCTGCATGCAGTGAAGGAATTTCAGCGTCAGAACGCGACAGCCAGGTGCTCCTCGAACCTGGCTGTCTCAGAGTAGATTGCGAGAGCCCTTCGTGGGATTCGGGAGTTAGATCGCCAAATCCTGGGGGCAACCGATTTTCGGCTGTAGTGCCCTCCCAGGTTCAGTCGCCACGTGCTGGGTCTCGAGCCATGGGAGTCAGTGTTGAGCAACCTCAGGGGGAAGCTCTGGCAGCGCTGCAGCCGAAGCTGGTCATCTCACTGATGGAAGGGCTCCCTCCTGAGGACCGTGGGGCCCAAGGTACGTTCAAAGTGGGCACTCTGAATGCGAATACGTGGCCAAGGGCTCGGAACACTATGCCTTGGATTGAGATGCATTGCCAGTTGCCGCAGGTGCTGTGCATTCAGGAGACCGTGCTGGACCAGGCGGGGGAAGCAGGGGCCCATCAATGGACTCGTACTTGCTCTCGGAAGCTGGCGCTGGGCTCTGCAAGGCGCACAGGAGAATCGGCCAGATCTCTCTCAGCTGGAGTTGGATTGTCGGCGGCCATGAGCATCGGGGTGTCCAAGCTCCAGGTGCCTGAGAAGTGGCAGCATCGGGTGGTGATGAGGCTCATGACGGTAGGCGCTCACTCGTGGATCATCATCGGCTCGGTCTATGGCGTCGACTCGATCGGCCCCAAGGGCGAGAACCTGGAGCTACTGGAGTTCCTCAGCGCTTTCCTGGGGGCGCAGCGTTTCCCGTTTCTGCTGGGAGGCGACTGGAACCTGGAACCTGAGGAGATCATGGAGCTGGGCTGGCTGGACCTGGTAGCCGCCACCGTTTTCGCACCTGGCTGCCCAACCTGCAATGGCAAAGAGTATGACTACTTCATTGGCTCCCAGGCTCTGGACGCCTTCCCCATGTCGGTAAAGGCCAGGGTGGACACGCCGATCTCGCCACATTGCTACGTGGAGATCAAGCTGGAGGGC